TTCTTCTCAACATTCTTCTCAACATTCCATTGCATGCTTCCAAGCAATACAAGGCCTTGTCCATATAAGACTCAAACTCACTGCGGATCCAGACATTTGAATTGAGAAAGCTTCCTGGAGAGGTGGAGAAACGTCTTCAAATCTTGAAAACCAAGTCCAGTGGATATTTTTTAAATTTCTACGGAATGACTATGACCTGGATGACTGAGAACCTTCATCAACCTAAATAAAGAACAACCCACCTGTGGGCTAAGTTTGAAATTTTATTTTATTCTGTTGCTCTTCTTTTAATCATTTATAGAGATTTCAAAATGACAATGTCTAAATAAAATTAGAAATGAACAGAAACAATAAAAATATGTTGATAATGAACAAAGTTTAGGCTAATGCTAACCCTTGCAGCTCATGGGTCAGTAATGGTCGCCCTCCCTACGTCTCGGTACCCTTGAAGTGGCACTCAGCCTTAAAAAGGTTGGTGACCCCTGATCTAGAACCACCACTGATCCCAACAACCTCAATCAGTTCTTCCATTCATGCAGTCAGTTAAATAACCTGCTGCTGTCATTCTGCACATCTCTGATGTTGCTGCTATTTTCAAATATCCATTACTGTAAAAATGTCCATAGCTGCATATTGGTTATTTATTCTCCAGGTGCACATTTTATATTGTTAAAACATTTTCCAGTACAGGGTTTTATTGTTTATTTTTTAACTCTTCACTATTACCTTATTCTTATACATTTTTCTAAGGTCCAAATTTGTGTTACCATTTTTCTCTAACCGTTTTGCTGCTAGAAACACCATAATTTCCCCATTGTGGGACAATAAAGGTATTTTCTGTTCTATTCTATTCTATTCTATTCTATTCTATTCTATTCTATTCTATTCTATTCTATTCTATTCTATTCTATTCTATTGTACTATTTTCCAGACAATTTATATGAATCAATAATCATTAGTCCATTATCAATGTCAGATCTCAGGCTTCTTGTACTGACAAGTTCATTAAGTGCAACATTTTGTTCATCTTATTTGCTTCTATTTGTGTTCAAAAGAAAAAAACTATAAACTATTTGGAGTGAAAAAGGAGCTAAAGACCATAAACTCTCTGTACTTCCTCTCCTAACCTTTAATTATTATTCACCAGGCAGAAAAAAGGCCATGTAACATGGTTGCCAAATGAAAGTTATTACATTTAGATCTGCACTTCCCAGATGTTTAGAATCTATTCTATTCTATTCTATATTTAAGTATGTAGCCATTTTTCCAGTGGTAGGTTCTTGAGTCACATGACTTGGACTTGAGTTATTGATTTTCTAACTTTAGACTTGATGTGATGAATTCTCAGTGACTTCAGACTTGATTTGAACTTTTGAAACAGTGACTCAGGACTTGAATTAGACTTGGACCTTTTTACTCTGAATTTTTTTTAGATTTCCTCAAAAATAAGCATTATTTTAAAAGTCTGCACCATTACAACAACAAACGACAGACTATATTTCTGTCTCTCCACACTATGGTTCTATATGTTCATGAGCCTCAGCACAGCCATTTAAATTAACAGGAATTTTTAAATAAATACAAACGCTGCTCCAAAGAGTAGTTTCCTTTGAGTGCATAAACTTCAGAGTAATCAACAAAATTAAATGTAATATTAAAAACATGCAAGAAGAGAGCCAAAGATGGAGACCAAACATCTATTAACCTTGCTTCACATTTGAAGTTGCAAGAAGAGCAGTTGTTTTCACTTTTCTATTGCAACAATTAGATGGATGACTTTAGCTAACTATGCTTCAGACTTAGACAAACTTTATTGGCAAAAACAAAATTTTGATGCTTACAGCTTTTCAAAAGTGCAGGAGCAGTTTAGTAGTAAAACGAACATTTCCAATAATAGAGGGCAGCACTGATCAAAAAGTTAACAGTGTAGGAAAGAGATGTTGCAAAAGGCATTGATGATGAAGGTTCAGAGCAAAATAAATAAATATGGTGAAAAATGCAGCAGATCACTGAGTTGAGTTCTGTTTATATAAAAATTTGCCATGTAGTGCAAATATGATGTTCACAGTGTGATGCAGAGTCTGGATTTGTGACTTGATTAGTGTTTCAACAGTTCAGCAGTCTGGTGGCGGGGAAGAAGCTGTTGCAGAGCCTGCTGGTCCTGCATCAAATGGTGCGAAGCATTTTCAGCCGCCCCTGTTCGCTCTGTTCTGTTTCCTCTGGACTGTTACCTGGATTCTGCCTGCTGCTGACCTTGGACCCGTCTTCTGACCACGGTTTGGATTGCCCTCCAGGATCAGTCGGTCCCTCTGTCTGAAGCATGCTGTTACTTGGCCAGTATGACCAGTATACCTGGCCCTTCAGCAGACGTCTCAAAGGAACTATAAAGTTACAAAGCCGCAAAGATGAGAAATATGCACTACCCATCATATTTCCTTAGAGGAATATGTCTGAATTAAGATTAATACAACACATTTAGAAGGTAATATATTACTGCATTTCATTATTTGCCAGAGATGGGGTTTTGTTGTGATTATCTACATACTTTAGGTTCTGATATCATGTTCTTTCCGGTATGAACTGGAAGAGATCTGGAATACGATGGTGATACAGATTGAGAAATTAACCCAGTCTGGAGTTGATCCTCCTGTTCAGTCCCTATTCTGTACTGTTAGTCTTTCTTTGTTAAAGTCTGTAGTTTCCTTCACATGCTGCTCTTGGTCTTATAAATAAAACTTTTTTCTTCATCTCAATTTTAATCTTATTCTTACATACTTTTAAGGGTTGGCTTAAAACTTTCCTTTTTGATAAAGCTTCTAGTTAGAGTGGCTCAGGTTATCCTGA